CGTATAAGATGTTTGATGCAGAGAACTTCACAACGTGAGCAGCTAAATTCCCAGTTGTGACTGACCTTGATGATTGCTGTTTCATATTATCAGTGTCGCGCACAATGATGAGTCTTAAGCCATCTATATGAAGCTTTCCATGGTGTCCACTTACAACTATTGTTGCCTCCTCACCTACTTCCTGCAAGATCAATACAATCTATATGCCTCAACTTTAGTGAGTTTGTACCGGTTTAAGCCCAAGCCCACTGTTAGCAGATATTGTTCTCTTTGGCCCGTTATGTATTACCGTTAGCTTCACAGTTTTAATACGCGTTTACTAGGGAGAGGTTTCCACATCCTTATAAGGAATGTTTCGTTCCCCTCTCCAACCGATGTGGGATCTCACAATCCACCCCTTTGGGGGCCAGCGTCCTCGCTTGCACACAAACCGGTGTCTGGCTCTCATACCATTTTGTAACAGCCTAAATCCAAGTCCACTGCTAGTAGATATTGTCCTCTTTGACCTGTTATGTATTATTATCAGCTTCACGATTTTAATACGTGTTTGCTAGGGAGAGGTTCCACACCTTGTAAGAAATGTTTTGCTCTCCTCTCCAACTGATGTGGGATCTCACAATCCACCCCCCTTGGGGTCCAGCGTCCTCGCTAGCACACAACTTGGTATCTGGCTCTGATACCATTTGTAACAATCCAAGTCCACCGCTAGCAGATATTGTCCTCTTTGACCCGTTATGTATCGCCGTCAGCCTCACGATTTTAATACGCATCTACTAGGGAGAGGTTTCTATACCCTTATAAGAAATGTTTTGTTCTCCTTTCCAATCGATATGGGATCTCATAAGTGTCGGGAATTCAATTTCAGTATCATTTAAAGAAGAACACAGCTCATATGTGTAAGAAATTGAGCCCTCACCTTTGGGATATCCCAAACGTTTTTCCTCCCACAAAGACCTATCTTGGGCAATTTGGTGTCTTTGGGTTTCAAAAACTTGAGTTGCTCTTGAACATCTTTCCCCCCTCTCCTCTCCAAAGGACATCCCTTATAAGGAATGACTCGTTCTCCCTTCCAACTAACGTGCGATCTCAAAATCCACTCTACTTGGGAGCCAACGTCCTTACTAACACGACGTCCAACTTTGATACCATTTGTAACAACTCAAGCCCACCACTAGCATAGGCCCGTTACATATCCTCAACAACCTCACGGTTTTAAAACGCGTCTACTGGGGAGAGGTTTCCACATTCTTGTAAGGAACACTTTGTTTCCCTCTCCAACCAACGTGGGATCTCACACTAGCAATTCAAATGTTTTAAAAAAAATGAAGAACACTTGTAAAGAATTGACGAGAAAACAAGCATAATTTCCGAAAACAAAAAACCGAAGTCATCAAACAAGATCTAAATAGTTATGAGACGGGAGCTAATGCGTTCATTTTGTAGAGACTAAATCTAAAAAGTTCAAAGCTCCACGAGGTAGCCTCGTAAAGAGAGGTTCAAAGCTCCACGAGGTATCCTCGTAAAGAGAGATTCAAAATGAGAACCAACATAGAAATGGAAGTATTGCCAATGAAGACATAAATCTTGAATAGAACAAGAAACAGAACATTTAGAGACAGAACACTAGCTTCAACAGTGATTTATTTGGTTACTTTCATACCATAATTCAGACACAAGCATCAACAGTGATTTCTTTCAAACATGAAACATAACGAATTCAAGGCAACATCCCAGCAATAAGTATAAATGGAAAAGGTGGAAAAGGGCAACGATACCAGCATATCCATGAGGAACACCATGGGATTCAAATGTCGGTCCAGCATCCAAAATGGAACCCTCACAATCAGGCACCAAATCGTGATTCCCGGCGTGGAAAACGTGCTTCTGGTCCGGGTATCTGGAGGGTAAACGGACCAAGAAATCGATTACTTCTCGGGTATTTGGTCCCCTGTCGCAGTAATCGCCCAAGAAAATTATGTGGGCGGCGTTGAAATCTGGGGTAAGTAGCCATGGACGTCGCCGATGCAGCAGACCACTCTGGTTTTGTCCGGATTTTGATCGGAATGCGGCATTGGATTGACGGCTCGTATTTGATTTTGGTTGATTACATATAGAATCATCGAACTACAGAAACCATTACAATGTTCGTACAGATAGTGATTTCTCATCCAACATTTGAACGGTTTTGCACTCTAATTCAGGGCTAAATGGGTAGGGCGGAACCTAACCTTGGCAGCTTGTGATCATTTATGGGTAGGCGATTCAGCTGCTTTTTGTTCGTATAACTCATGTCCGTCCTGTTCAAGAAATGTTTTGGCAAGCTCCACTTTACAGCAACCAGCTCCGGAGTGCCTCTCGGGTATGATATTCCTCAACAACACTTAATATTTTGATATTTATGTTAGGCTAAAAAAAATTGAATAAATGATCTAATGACTCCAACCAAAATGATTTGGTTCAATTAGATTATTATTTAACAAGGTGGTTCCGATTGAAAAAATTTGGTTAGGTCTTAAAAAAAATATTAAACCGACCCGACCCAACCCAACACACAAACAGTTGTATGATTTCTTCCCTATAGAGCATAATTATTGAATATAAATCTATATTATAGGTACATTTAAACTTTCCCTTAATAACCTTCCACTCGTATTTTTTGTGTCTCGAAATTCCTTATTTTCATAATCTAGTTTAGGTGAACTCGTCTTATTAGTACAACCTCAACAATAATTTTAGGAGATAATAATAAAATCACATGCTAGTGTGGTGTTTATTGTGCCTTCTAATAATGAGGATGTTTTGATTTTTATTTATACGTGTCAACCAAGTATAAACCAATTTTGTAGGTGCTTCTCATGACAATCAAATACTTATGTCTAACCGTCCTAGGTATCTTCGATTTATAAACTAGCTGACCCTAAAGCATAAGAATCGATGGATACTAAGTTAAGGCTAAATTAATCCCGTAATCAACTAAGCCTAGGTCAATCTTGTATTTCGTATAGCTTTATTTCAATCATAACAACGTCAATTATGTGCGACGTACAATTATTTACTTCTAGATTCATAAATGAATACAGACAAGCATCAATCACTTCATTGATTAAAAAGTAAATAATTTCAAAGGTCACGCCCATCAATAAAAATAAAAAATAAAAGATGAGGTTGGTTGGTTTTTCTATTTAAAATTAAAACTTAAATAGGTTAGTTGTTTAGTCATTGTCTTACTAAATTCACACACCAAGCACGTGCTGCTTTTGAACCATATCATATTTTATATATATATATATTTTGTTTTTTAAATTTTAAAAAATGTTATACACCAAATTTTATTTAATTTTTTTAGTAGTGGAATTATCGACTGCCACAAAAACTGTTAAGAGCAAAAGTTTAAAGGTTAAAAAAGTCATCGAGCCTAAGAGATCCACCATGACAAGAGGGTACAAGTTGAAGTTGACTCGCTGAGGCCATTGATTCAATTATTTGAGAAATTTTGGCATAAAACTTGATATTGACATCACTATTTTGAATGTTTTGTATCCACGAATGACTCGTCCACAGAAGGACCAATCACACGTCAATTACTTTATACAAACATAAAAGAGCGGAACTTTTATTTTGAAGATCATATAAAATAGAGTTCAATATTTCAACTGATGGAAGATAATAAAAGGTTTGTTCGTGAAAGGTGGCTCACATGAGACCAATTTCTTAAAAAAAAAAAAAAAAAATCTTTTATAAAAGGTGAATAATATTCATATTTATTTTTCCAATTTTTATTTATTTTAGATATTTTTAAAATTTATAAAAATTTAATGCCTGACATTTTCTTAAGACAGAACTTTATTTACTTTTCGTTTGGGAGAGAGATAAACGCCCGTCCTTCCAGCATATTTTGTGTACGTTCACATGCAAAATTTTCAATTTTCTAAATTTTTTAATATCATTTTTAAAAATGGATTATAAAATTACAATAAATATTAAAAAAAAAATGATTTTGGTGTTTTTCATTAGAAAAAAAAAAACTTTTCCAACCTCTTTAAACAAAATAAAAGTCGAAGACTTTCCGGTCTTCGCAAATTTGGTCAACGCAAATTTGGTCAACATTCCACTCCACGTGATCCTTCCTCCTCCTTTCCTATATATAAATATAATATTATCCTTATCAACTATTTTTGTGTACTATTTATTTATTATTATTTTTTTGTGGTCCAAGACATTCTCAATTTTCGGTTCTACTTAAAATTATTTGGATTTTTTTAAATGACTTGATATTAACATTTTTATTAAAAAAATTTAATAAAAGAAATTCAAATGTGAACATTTAGGGCAAAAGTGTTAAGGCAAGATGTTTTGCCCATCTAAATTAGAAGCCATAATAATTTGAGTTTAAATGACTCAATAAATAGTAAGATACGACATAGTTGTTGTTTATGTTGTACGACATTGACCATTTAAAAATCTTTGTCACGAGAGTGTTCACAATTTACTTCATATGAACAGTTTTTCGTTGAAAAGCGGGTTCAATAACGTCACAAGACAAATCAACATTGACTCTTCTCTAAATTAAATTAAATTAGAGAGCGAGTTTGATTAATGATGATATAGTTTATCATAACCACTCTTTTAATTTGATAATTTACATTTTTTTTTCTTATTTAATATGGCTAAAAATGTCCAAATAAAAATATAATTTTTTTTTTTTATTAAAAATATTGACAACAAAAATCCAACCAAACAGTCATGTTTTTTTAAATAATTCCGACACGACATGTCGTTAATTATATCCACTGTATTTAAAATAATGTTTTTTTTAGGTTTTTAAGATGATGTGAATAAATATTATTTCTATTGTATTATCTAATAAAAAAATCAGTAAAAAATATTTTAAAAGATATTATTTATTACTAATATATATATATATATTTGTGGGGTGAGTAAAATTATGTGTAAAACATCTGGCTGTGCTGGACAGACATGAATTAAAGTAATCGTCCATAAATACACTCCTTTTGCACACACTCCCATCGTCTTCTTACTCTCTCTCAAAAGGAATTTCAGAATCCTCTGTTTTCGCTCTCAAGCTCCAATAATGGAGGTTCATTCTCAGACCCTTTCTTCTTCCTTGAAACATTCTTCATTTCCACACCCTCTCAACTCCCACGCCGTATTCCCTCCTTCTGACCATCAACAACCCTCTTCCTCCGCCGACTCTCCGCTCCCTGACGCCGTCTGCATGCCCTTCTCCTCTGCCGCTGACCCCTCAAATGGGGTTGCGAAACTGACCCAGATGATCAAAGAAGGCGGGGATGAGGTGAACTTGGCACGGCAGCGCTCGGCTGTGAAGCTGCAGAAAGTGTACAGGAGCTACAGGACTCGCCGGCTGTTGGCGGACTCTGCCGTCGTCGCTGAAGAGCTCTGGTGAAATTCACTGTCTGATTATGTTTTTTTTTTTTTTTTTTTTGTGTCTGAAATTGGGGAATTTCGATTTACTGATTATGGTTGTGAAATTTGTTGAAGGTGGTTTGCGATTGATTATGCTAGATTGAATCATAGTACGATTTCGTTCTTTAATTTCTTGAAACCTGAAACGGCTGCTTCTCGGTGGAATCGTGTTGCTTTGAATGCTTCAAAGGTTTAGTTTCTGAGCTGTTTTGCTTCACATTTAGGGGCTTGAAAATGGGTTTTAATGGATGAATTTGAGGGCTTTTTCAGGTGGGAAAGGGGCTGTCGAAGGATGCTAAAGCTCAGAAACTGGCTTTTCAGCATTGGATCGAAGCTGTAAGTGAAGCTTTGTTGGAAAATCTCAAGAACAGTGTTGGGTTTTGATTTGTTGTTTTTTTCCCCCCTTTTCAGATTGATCCTAGACATAGATATGGACATAGTTTGCATTTGTACTATGAAGAATGGTGTAAAGCAGATGCTGGTCAGCCATTTTTCTACTGGTAATTGCTTTTTGTTTTAAGGTTGTTTCTGTCGGCTCTTTTTTTTTGTTGTTTTGATTTGAAATGATCTGTTCTTCATTGTCGTGTTGGAGTTTGGATCTCTGTTTTTCTACGAAATATGTCTGAATCAAGAGTTTTGAAGGGTTGTCTCTGTAAGGTTTTGCAGTTTATATCCATTTTAGTGTCTAAATTTTTGCACAGTTCACTTGATCGTAAAGATCATAAGATGAGTTTTGTATGTTCTGGTTCATCCTTGTATATTTCATATGTTCATATGATCAACAAGAATCTGGATGGGATCTCGATCTGTAACTGTCCAAGCCCATCGCTAACAAATATTGTCCTCTTTGGGCTTTCCTTTAACGTTTTTAAAACGGTCTGCTATAGAGAGGTTCTCCTCCCCAACCGATGTGGGATCTCACAATCCACCCCCTCGGGCCCTATAAATAATGCTTCGTTCTCCCGATGTGGGATCTCACAATCCACCCCTTTAGGACTGGGCCCAGCTTCCTCACTGACACTCGTTTCCTTCTACAATCGATGTGGGACCCCCAATCCACCTCCCTTCGGTGCCCATCGTCCTTGCTGGCACACCGTCTCGTATCCACTCTCTTCCAAGCTTAGCCTTATAGCTGGCACATCGCTCGATGTCTGGCTTTGATACCATTAGTAACAGCTCAAGTAGATATTGTTCTCTTTTGGGTTTTTCCTTAAGATTTTTAAAACGCGTCTGCTAGGTAGAGGTTTCCACACCCTTATAAAGAGTGCTTCGTTCTCCTCCTCAACTGATGTGGGATCTCACACTCTATCTCGTTGGCTTCAGAAATATTTAAAGATCTTATTTTAACTGCTGAAGCAAGATCTTATTTTAACTGCTGAAGCATGCATCAAAAGTCACAGTGAATGAATAAAATCTGGTTTCCATTAGGGATTTACCATTAATGAATTAACATTTACATCATTTCCATAAGGTTTGGCTTCAGATCCTTGCAATTTGTTGTCTGAGTTTCTTGCTATTCAAACTTTGCAGGCTTGATGTTGGCGATGGCAAAGATGTCAACCTTAAAGAATGCCCAAGATCGAAGCTTCGGCAGCAAACCATCAAGTATCTCGGACCTGTATGTCGACTTTTTATCCTATCTCGCTTGTTTTTCTTCCCTCTCTCTTCCTCGCTTTACCGTCGAGCTAACTTTAACTTATCGATATCAGCAAGAGCGAGACAGCTACGAATATGTCGTTGTAGACGGGAAAATCGTCCATAAACAAAGCGGAGCTTTCCTTGATACCAAGAGAGGACCAAATGGGACGAAATGGATATTTGTAATGAGCACTTCGAAGAGGCTTTATGCTGGTGAGGTGAGGATCGTCATTCGGTTTCCTGAGCTGCAATTTTGTTTCGACAGTGTACCGAGTTGATGAATTCACCATTGATGTTTTTCAGAAGAAGAAAGGAGCTTTCCACCACTCAAGTTTCTTGGCAGGAGGAACCACATTGGCTGCAGGACGGCTAGAGGTAGACGATGGAGTTCTTAAGGTAATTATACGATCATTCCAAGTGTGAAAACCGACATGTTAATGAAAGAATTTCGAAAAAAAACCCGAACGGGTTGATGTCGTTTGCTTGTCTGTAACCGTAATAGTCCAAGCCCACCGCTAGCTGACATTGTCCTCTTTGAGTTTTCCCTTAAGGTTTTTAAAACGCGTCTATTAAGGATAGCTTTCCACACCCTTATAAAAAATGCTTCGTTCCTCTCTCCAACCGATGTGGGAAGCTCACAATCCACCTCCGTCGGGGCTCAACGTCCTCGCTGGCACTCGTTCTCTCTCCAATCGACGTGGGATCTCACAATAACAGTTCATTCTTTGATGGCTTTGATCTTTGCAGGCAATCTCAGCATATAGTGGACATTATAAGCCTACCGACGACCATCTCGACATCTTCTTGAAATACCTCGAGGAGAACGGAGTGGTTCTTAAGGATGTCGAGGTACTTAACAAACCACCTATGCAAAACAGGCTAACAAACACGTCCGACCCTTAAATTCTTTTCTTCTGTGCTTCAGGTACATCGAGCAAGTGAAGATTCCGAAGGCTACGACGATTTGAAGTCGGTTGGACGTCGAACCAAAGCGGATTTTCTGAGCAAACTAGAGGAACTAGACATCAAAACAGAGGAAGAATCAGCTCGGGTCTCCCAAGTTAAAGGCAAAATAGAATACAAAAGGACATTATCCGGTGGCCTGAAGAGCCCAAGAGCCGATGTACCAAAGAAGGTGATTTTGCAGAGAATTAACTCAAAGAAGGTAGCAAACTCTTATCAGTTAGGCCATCAACTTTCGCTCAAATGGACGACGGGAGCAGGTCCGAGGATCGGCTGTGTCGCTGACTACCCGGTCGAGCTACGAGTTCAAGCACTGGAGCTTGTCAACCTATCTCCAAGGACTGCTTCAACTCCGTCGTACTCGAAGAGAATGGCAGGCTTCCCGATCCCAACCACTCCGACATCGGATACCTTAAATTAAATGGTCATGATAGTTGTAACCTTAAATCCCTCGAACTTACAATGTTCTGAAAAAAATATGTAAACGATGTGGAATGTAATGTAACGTTTAAATCTTCATAAGGTTAATATCTAAAATTAGAGCTTCATTTTAGATTGCTTTTAAATGCTAAAAATAAAATAAACTTTTTTTTATTTGGGTCCCATATTAAACTTTTTAATTTTATATTTAATAAAATTTTTAATTTGTTGAATATTCTCGTCCTTAAATATTAAAAATATATATTTAAATTTTCTATCAATTATAATCACAAAATATATAATTTAATTTAATTGGTTGAAAAATTATAAAATGAGGTAAATAATGGTCCTCCATCTACCACGTTGCCACTTTAACCTCTTGTAGAGGGGTCCTTTTAATATTTATCCAACACAAAAAAAAGATATATATATAAAAAATAAAAAGAAATAATTTTTTTAAAAAGAAAGCCACGTGGGTATTAAATTGAGAAGCCACAGTTCACTGCGCCGTGGCCTACAGTTCTTGTACGGCGGGTCTTGCCACGTGTAAAATTTTTACGAGTGTGGAATCCATTACGTGGCTTACTCTGATACATGAAGGCGCGTATGTTTTCACCCACACGCGCTCTTTCTCTCTCACACTCACACTCACCCTCACTGTTCTTCTCTTTTTCTTTCTTCTCTGAATTTTTCTCTTTCTTTTATGGTTTGCTCTCATGGCTTCTTCTTCCAAGTACTCAGAGGGGACCAGTTGTTCAGGTTTGAGTTCTTCTTCTTCGACTTCTACGTGTTCGTCTTCTTCTTCCTCGTTCATGGCGGCGGATCAGATGGTCAAGGTTGAGATTGAGGCGGCGGAGGCTCTTGCGGATTTGGCGGTTTTGGCGGTGCGGGAGAGTGGAGGTGAGCCGTCGGAAGCGAAATGGGAGAGTAAATGGAAGGGGAAACGCGCCAGGAAGGAGGTTAAGACCGAGTCGCCGATTTGTGGCTTTGTCGACTCCTTACCTAGTCGAGTGGATTTGGACCTTAGGATTCAGGTTGTTGATTACCTTTTTTTTTTTTTCCTCAAGGTTTTGATTGGATTTTTCTTTCTGTGTTTGATTACCTCTTTGGTTTGGATTTTGGTGGTTTTAGGTTGAGGAAAAGTTTGCACTCGTTAATGACAGAGGAAATTGAATGATGTTCTTATATGAGTATTGACATTGTATACAAATAATTATTTGCTGCAGTGATGCGTTGTTGATCGATCAAGGAGCAATCGCCATCTGTTTCTAGTGTATAAATCTGGAAGACTTCTTGAGTTTTGAAGCAATTTGATTTGTTTTGAAAATGTGCTTACCTAGGGGCTTGATTAGTTCTCATTTCTATATCTCTTTGGTCTTTAGATTCTAAGGAACTGGTATTCAAATTGGTGATTACTTATCCCAGACGTTTGGAGCAGAATTAAGAATATGGAGTTTTTTGTCTTAGAATTCAAACTAAGAAGTGGGCCATTGATTGATTAAGTGACACCACTGGCTATCTCATGAAACATATAATAGTATACCCTTCAAATTATTGATGATTTGACTAGAACTGTTGAACGTTTGGCTTTTCTCTTCAACAAGTCTATTTGTTCTTCCGAATTAGATATCGGTTTATGTTAATTTGACATGTCAAACTGGTTGCTGTGTAATCGTATTGCCATTCTGACCATTTATGGTGTGAGTGAAAACTTAAAGCATTGATGCAAAGTTCATTACTTATGCAGGCCTTGACAAAACACTTTTGTTTGTAGCAGGAAAGTGGAGTGGTAAGTCATCAGCCATCGGAAAAGGAATGTACAAATCAATCCCACGCCAAATGGGAAACGACCAGGAAGATGTTAAAAGCAGAGAAGGATGAGGCTAAGTCACTTAAAGTGAGTCCTATATGCACTACGAGCTACCCATTATCTGGCTGCAGGAGCTCAAGGCGTAATCTAACTGAGGTTATGCTTGAACTGGTTACCAGACGTTTTTATTATCTATTTTCAATCATTTACATAAGCGGCTTTCTTCTTCAGGCTGAAAAGGAAGAAAGAAGAATACGAAGGATTTTAGCAAATAGAGAGTCAGCCAGGAAAACAATTCGGCGTAGGCAGGTTCAAAGAATTTCTCTCAAGATGTACTTTTTGGTTTTATAGCTCAAATTATGTATCATATATTCATTGTTTGTTGAGGATCGTTGGGAGAGAAGTCCCACATTCATGAGTTTATAAGTAAGGAATACTATCTCCATTGGTACGAGGCATTTTAGAGAAATCAAAAGTAAAGTCACGAGAGCTTATGCTCAAAGTGGACGATATCATACCATTGTGGAGGTCAGTGGTTTCTAACATGGTATCAGAGTCATGCTCTTAACTTAGTCAAGTCAATAGAATCCTCAAGTGCCGAACAAATAAGTAGTGAGCCTCGAAGGTGTGGTCAAAAGTGGCGAATAAATGATGTACTTTGTTTAAGGGCTCCAGAGAAGGAGTCGAATCTCGATTAAGGGGAGGCTATTCTCAAGGGCTCCATAGACGTCAGGAGAGGCTCTATGGTGTACTTTATTCGAGGGGAGGATTGATGAGGATTGCTGGGAGAGGAGTCTCACATTAACTAATTGAGGGGAAGATCATAGGTTTATAAGTAAGGAATACTATCTTTATTGTTACGGGGAAACCAAAAGCAAAGTCATGAGAGCTTATGCTAAAAGTGAACAATATCGTACCATTGTCGAGATTCGTGGTTTCTAACATTATTGTGATAATTCAAGACGAAGGTTGCAGAAAATCCTTCTTATTTTCGTTCCTTTGTTTGTTGATTTCTACATGTTACACTAAACCATCTGTGGATGCCTTTGACTACATGTATAGTCGCAGTAGAGAGAAGTTTGAGTCTTCAAACGAAAACTATTATATAACTCTAACGATGATAGTTATTTTGCAGGCTCTGTGCAAGGAACTAACCAAAAAAGCTGCTGATCTAGCATGGGAAAATGAGAATTTAAAGAGGGTAGGCATTCACCAGAATCATACTAGTTTCTTCTTGTAACCCACCCCCGAAATAAAAAGAAAATAACTGACCATTTACATTCTGTAACTTTTCCATTTGTCATAATCTTAATTTACGTTCATTTTGTGATTTTCAACCATCAAGGAAAAGGAGTTCGCCTTGAAAGAGTACCAATCTCTGGAGAGTACTAACAAGGAATTAAAGGAACAGGTTAGGATGGGGTTGCATTTAAGAAATGTGTATGGTCATGGTCTTACCAAATCTCCCCAAGATTCACTTGCTCGCTAATTTGTGTTTAGATGGCTCAAGCAGTAAAGCCCAAGGAGGAAGAAACTCCAGGAAACAATAGATCATCTCATGTTCAGATGCCTCCTTTACCTACCAACTACCCTCTTTTCTTGTTTAGTCGCCCTCCTTGTGCGTCGTATTTCTGGCCGTCTGTGGTTCAACCTTCAAGTCGTTATCATGAACTACACAACGTCGCTGTCGCCCCCTCGAGTATTCATTTTCCTGGGAATAATAATGTTTGTGTGTCTGATTATTCCCATGTACAAGAAAACTTAGATGGCCTAAGAACACCCTTTTGTATAGTGCCTTGTTCTTGGATGTTGCCTCATCATGATCATAGGAATCTACAGAGTCCTCAAGCCTCGTGTCTCACGGGAAATAATCAAGAGGATGTTTATTCAAATTCCCAGAACAGTGCTAATACTTCAAATGTAGTTGTGTATTCAGAAAGCAGACATTCTTGCTTGCCTTCAGCTGAAGAAAAAACCGAAGTGCCTGACTTGAATGAAGCTCCTCAGGAACATACCCGGAACACAGTTGGAGCAGTTGAGGGTGTTGATGTTGTTTCTCCTGCAAGACTTCTACAAAGGGCGGGGGCCAGCCAAAGAAGGTCAGTCGAACTCGGTTAGGACCCTCGATCCGGTTCAGCAAAGTTCTTCCATGTGAGAATGTATGCGGATACCAGTATCCTCTTCAGAACCGGTTGCTTCCTCATTTTGTTTATACGTTCGGAGAAACCTACTAAGTCTGCCTTTCTTGCCTAGTGTGATTCAGTCGGACCTTTGATCCAGTTCAGCTAGGTTCTTCCATGCGAGAATGTATGCGTATCGGTATCCTCCTCAGGACCGGTTGCTTCCTCCTTGTTTATATGTTTGGAGAACCCTACTAAGCTTGCATTTCTTACCCGGTGTGATTCAATCTTTCAGCTCAAACCGAATGTATTGAACCAACGTCCCCTGTCAAACAAGATAACCGAAGCAGCGCGTGTGATTTTGCAGAAGAAAGCATGGACCAGAGATTTCTGGCTTTGTTTTTGAGGCATTCCCTTTGGCTTTGCTTTTGTTACCGAGCACAGAGTAGTACGTTCTTATCAAATAAGCAAGAGATTGGGTTAGAATGATTGAGAGGTGGGTAGGTTTGAGTGATTTGGAAACGTGATATAACAAACTAAAACATTAACCTAAGATCTTCGAAATGTGACGTGACAAAATAAGGAATGATTTAACAAATATAAAATTAAATTAACTTCTAAATGCTAAAATTGGGATCCTAACATTATGCTTCGAATCATTCCACTCGAGCGAAGCCTTCAAAAGAACATTCCCTTCCGCCGCCACCGCCCCTTTTACCATGACCTTAAACGACCGCGTTTCGTTCGCCCGTTTGAACTTCAAGGCCTCCGGCAACACTCGTACAGACAAACCCATCGGCGATTTCACCTTAGCCTTGTATGTTGACGGCCCGGAGCCAACGTGGGTGACAATCCGGTGGAAGACGGCGGAGACGGCGGTAGCCTGGAGGTCGACTGGGACGTACATTGAAGGGTAGTTGAGGCCGTCGGAGCCGGTGTTCGGAGTGACGGCGGAGCAGTTGAAAGAGGAGTCGCCGGCGAGGATGGCGAGGGCGGTGCCGGCGTAGTGATTTTTGTTGCAGAGGAAAGAGATGTAAGAGGTGCGAGAGAGGTCGAAAATCAGGCCTGGATTGACGGCTTTCGTCGGATTTATTTGGCCGGCACCGACACCCAGCTCGTCTTGGCTTTCTCCGATCTTCAATGGCGTCGCTGCATTGGAAGTGAGCTTAGTTATATATATATATGAACAATAATTCCTAGGGTGTAGAAAATAAGAAAAAAGGAAAAACAGACCGGTGGTCATGAGGGCGGACTTGATGGCGGCGGGGGACCAAGTGGGGTGGAAGGTTTTGAGATAGGCGGCGGCGGCGGCAACATGAGGACATGCCATTGAAGTTCCAGACATAATGTCGAAAGTGGAATGTTTGCCGGTCGGAATTGTAGCCAGTTTTGTGTTCGCCGCCAATATGTTCATCCCTGGTGCTGCAACATCCGGCTGTTTTTTTTTTTTTTCCAATTTAATTTTCATACAAAAAAAAAAATAATAATAATAATAATAAAAAAAAAAATAAATATATATATATATATATAAAATTGAACTAAATATACCTTGAGGATATCACGAGCTATGAACTGAGGACCTCTTGAAGAAAAATAGGCCAAGAAAGGAGCCTCTGTCTTCGTAGTGGTTGTCTTCATTATCACTGCCTTAGGCTTCCTGCGAACCCGAGTAAAAGATTAAAGGTTCAAATATTTCACCCAACCCAAAAACGAAACCCGTAATTTAACGAAGAACATACTGGGTGGCGTTGATATAGGCTTCAACAATGTCAGAATCTTGAGAGGAAAGATGAGTAGCAGGAATTGGAGTGACGGCAAGAACCTCCGTATTGTTCATAAGATTGGCTATAACTCCGGCACCACCAAGCTCCGAGACTGTGTATTCTTGATCTAAAGATCCCAAACAATACAATATTTTCCCTTCCACTTTACCCTTATCAAGACTCCCACCATCACACCACCTAAAACCCAAACTTTTCTTCGTAAAAATTTCAAGATTGATATAAAATTACGAGAGTTTATGCTTAAAATAGACAAAATCATACCGTTCTATTTTATTTTGTTAATGGAAGTTATGGGTATTGGTTTATATGATTCTAATGAACCACTAATCAATCATATCCTATAACACTGAAAGTACTGTCAATCATATTCTATAACACTGAAAATACTATTGCAGTACTGGTTACCAGATATCCACGGAGAGGCACAGTACATTACTAGTTACCAGATTACAGTACTGGTTACAAGACACCCATGTAGGGGCACATTACAGTACTGTTTACCAGATACCCACGGAGAGGCATATTACAGTACTAGTTACCAGATTACAGTACTGGTTACAAGACACCCACGTAGAGGCACATTACAGTACTGGTTACCAGATACCCTCGTAGAGGCACATTACAGTACTGGTTACCAGATACCCACGTAAAGGCACATCACAGGTTACCAGATACCCACATAGAAGTACATTACAGTAATGATTACCAAAGACCCACGTAGAGGTACATTATAGTACTTGTATGCTTCTAGGAGCATATACCAGATACCCAGAAACGTTATAGTACTTGTATGCTTCTAGGAGCATATGGATTCGTACATTTCGTAGGCTCTTTCAACATCTTTTGGTCAACTCAATTTAAAAAGGGAATCGTTTAGCTATTTTACAAATAATCTCTCGTGGATTTATTGGAAGCACGTTGTTCGTACCTTGCATTTGGATGATTGGGTAACGCTGCGCTTCCTCCGCTGATGAGAGGGTACATCTTCTTCTTGGTTGAAAATGTATTCAGTGATATTCCCTGGTTCATTCAAAGCATGAATTAAGCCTTAATTTTGGGTTTCAAATGCTTTTATTTTCATTAATTTTATACTCACAGATAATTTCTTATTGTTTCCCAGCTTCACAACGGTACTGAAATCTCTATCAATGGTGGAAGCCGCCACCGTCATAATCCACGGCGCCGTATTCTCCACCGTTGTCAACCCCGGCCCGTTGTTTCCGGCGGAGCAGCTCGTCAGTATCCCTTTTGCCATTGCGTGAAACGACCCAATTGCTATCGGATCCTCGAAGAATTCCCGCAACCCGCCACCGATCGACACCGATATTATGTCCACTCCGTCGGCGATTGCGTGGTCGAATCCGGCCAGCAGGTCCGCGTCCGTGCACCCTACATTCCAGCATACTTTGTACATGGCGATTCTCGCTGCGGGGACACCGCCGCGCGCGGTGCCTCCGGCGATGCCGTAGAGGCTGGCACCGTCTACGGTGGCTCCCGCGACGGTGGAGGAGGTGTGGGAGCCGTGGCCCACCTCGTCCGCGGGGCTTTGGTTGATTGTGGCGTCTATTTCCTGCAGGTTGAAGAACCGGGCGCCGATCACTTTCCTGAATGTGTGAAATTACAATTTAGACCCTCATTTTCAACCTTAATTTATGCAAAAAAAAAAAAAAAATTGTGAAATTAAATAAAATTGGATTTGATAAACTTTGTTGTTCATAGTATACTCATTATTTTAATGAGTTTATAATTAAATTATTATAAGATAATTATTTCAAACAAACAAAAACATATTTATTAAAACAAAACAAAAAATCCTTAAAATAATAGAAAAGAAGAAGAAAGAGAAACCTGTTGCAGCCGGTAAAGTTATGGCCAGTGACACAGTGGCCTTTCCACTTAGAAGGAATTTCGCCATAGCCATCGTCCTTGAAACTGGGACTCCCCATCCAAATCCCGGAGTCCAACAATCCGACAATCATGTCCGACTCTGCGGCCGCGTTCCGGCGGCTGGCCGCCGCCGACAGCCCCAAAAAATCCCATGATCTTGTCGTGTGCAATTTCCTGATCGTGCTCCGGAATACAGACACTACGCTTTTTTCCTCTGCATTATTATTGTAGGATGATAAAATTCTCACGTCGGCTAATTTAAGTATTGATCAACGAACAGTATCTCCATTGGTTCCACTGGTACAAGACCTTTTGGAAAACCCAATGCAAAGCCAAAACTTATATTCAGAGTGGACAATATCATACAATTGTGGAGAGCCGTGTTCATCTAATATAGTATTAAAGTTATGCCCTAAACCAAAATGACTAAGACTCCAAAAGAAAACAGAGTCGAGCCTCAATTACGTGAAGACATACTTTGTTCGAGAAGAAGTGTTGGATGTAAACTAAAATGACTAAGACTCCAAAAGAAAGAAGTCGAGCCTCGATTAAGGGGAGACGTACTTTGTTCGAGGAGAGGTATTGGATGATGAAAGTCCCACATAGGCTACGGCTTTTTGGGGAAGCCCAAAACAAAGCCATGAGAACTTATACTCAAAATACGACAATATTATACCATTGTGGAAAACCGTGTTCTATCTAACAATTATTAGATCTTAAAAACACAACTTTGTTTTTTTTTTTGAAAAAATGGAGATAAAATTAGTCCTAAATTATATTGTGATAATATTTATAGATTTTAGTTATAGCTAAGGAAATTCAGACGAACTTGCTAGTTTCTGGGCTTCATGGGGTAAGAGCTTTGCAGCAAAGCCATTGAAGCTCCTTCCATAGCTATAAATCTTGGATTTTCTCGCCAATTCCTCACTACAATAAATAAATAAATAAAAACCCATTAAAAAAATCAAATTTTTACCCAAAATAAACAAAAAAAAAATTCATTTTTTGGGTAATAATAATAATAATAATTAATTACTCTCCGACTGCATTAGCAAGAAGGCTGTGATGATATTCTTCAAGAACTCCATGGCTCTGAACCTTCGGCAATGCTCCCATATACACAACATAAGCCTGTCCAAATCCAAGTTAATATTTTAAATTAAGAAAAAGGTGGCGGAAACCACCTTGAGGCAGCGGCGGTGGGGTTTTTATACCTTTCTGGGAATGTTGGTTGAGGAGGCCACGGCGGCGATGAGGGAAATGAATGAGAGGAACCCTTTGAGCATTTTGTAATTCATATTTTTTGTTTAAGAATGAATGATTTGAAAATATATATATATATATATATATATAAGAGAGGAAGTGGGTTTTCTCTGTGTTTTTTTTGTTTTGTTTTGTTTTTTGTTTTTTTNTTTTTTTTTTTTTTTTTTTTTTTTTTTTTTTTTTTTTTTTTTTTTTTGAATCTCTAAGAATTTATTTAGGGTTTAGAGGAAAATGGGGAGGAAACATTTACCTCTTCAAACCAAGATTTGTTGGTAATGAAAACAACACTTCGTTTTGTTTTGTTTTGTTTTTTTTTTCTAGTTCTCTAATTTTTAATT